TATCAACCTTTTCTTCACAAGGGAAGAAAGGGTTGATACAATGTGCAGCAAAGCCAGCAAAAACATATATAATACAACAAATGTGCAGCAAGCTAGCAACAACATTCGGTACAAATATCATTGCATAAGAGTTTTTTTCAATGAATAACCAGGTGAATTTTTTCAATGGATAGCCAGGCGCAAATTCCAGACCCATACTTATGCGCATTCAAACTGTAAAGCATATGCATCTATGTTGTTTTAATTTCCAAATTAACTAACAACCATTCTCTGTTAATTTCCAAATTAACTAACTGATCCATTGACCTCTATGCTTACTACATGTCATCCACACCATGGCGGTATCGGTACTAGCTGCCAAAAGTTTGTTTCTTGATGTGTCTGCCCAAGTTGGATGATTTGCCATAATTCTAGTATTTCTTTCTTCCAATCATCCATGGAGAATCACAACAGCAGTAGTATTATTGTTTTAGACTCTTAGCCTCCACACACACCAAAGGAAGAAGTCACAGCCATAGTACGGAAAGAAGTTTGCATCATGTAGATCTAGTGTATGTAGCAAGCGCGGAAGGCAAACGTGTTTGACGGACACCAATGGGCTGGTGGGAGTTGCACAAACCATCGAGTACTAAGTGATACATGTGGTCAGAAATGATTTGGGCATTTGTTTTCATAGTCGAGGGTGAAAACTGGACTCCATTACTTTTTGAGAACTACGCAATACCCATGTTCCTCTTGTGTTTAATCACTCTCCACTGCGGGTTCAGTACGTGTGCATTACGTGAACTGTGCTTGCACTTATTTATTTTTTGTGTTTCAGGAAGTACTAGTTCGATTTACTTGGCTTGGACCCGAGGAGGATGAATGGGTTGATGTTTGTAAATGTGTGAGAGTGCGTTCTCTTCAATGTGTTGATGTGCTGCCTGGGGATCTCATTATGTGTTTTAAGGTATCCATCTGAAACAACTTCTCTTCACCTGACTTGGCAAGTTAGCAGCTCACAACTTGATAATTCATGTCTTCCTGAAACATGACAGCTGCTCCATTTTGCTGTTGTTGTGCACTTGAAAATTCTGCTAGTTAACTTATTATTCCACGGTTATTTTCTTACTGTTACTTGTTGGCGTATGATAGAGTAGTGATGGGTATGTCGTTTGGGTTTCACTCAAGTTTCTTGTTGACACTCAAGTTTCCGCAGTTTATATAGGCTCTATTTCTTGTTTGTATATACTTATAAAAGTTATGATTCCAGTTTGCGAGTTCTCAAACTATTGTGATTGACAACACTTATTAAATGGCTTTACTTTAATACTTTAAGAATTGTAAGTTTCAGTACTTTAATAATCTTTAATATGATTACATCAAGCCGGCTCCGGTAGGGGAGCGGCGACAGCGGCGCGTCGGCGGCTCGTTCTGACAGCGGTAGTGGTCGTTCGGTGGTCTCGGAATCTCGATATAATTTTATTATATTTGAGGTGCTTTGTACTTTCGGTGAACTTTGACAATAGATATGAATCATTTTTCGCAGAAAAAAAGATTACATAGGACATTTAACTATAACTCTGTGTCTTTCCATATTCTTGGTAATCGTATTACATAGTACATACCTGTGATGCCACTTGGTCCAACCGGCACCATTGATTTGGCTATTTATTAGTCGAGACGCGAATGACCAAAGGACCGTAAAATCAATGCATTTTATTAAGTCATACTTCTGAGTACTAAAACTGATTTTCAATCTTAAATTGGGTGTGAATTTATCCAATAAATATTATTATTACTTCATTATTAAATTAAGCACTGAAAGCTTCGTGTTGTTTTTCAAAATGAAGGCTGTAATGTAACCTATCTCTGGCCATTTATAAAGTGGATAAATTAACTTTCATTAAATAAGGTGCATAAATTAGAGCATTGAGAGGAAAAATGCATGACTTTACTACTCTTTCAAGGCAGCATTATATACTCAAACTACAGTATTGTTGAGGGTCTGAGTAAGGATTTTTGGTCGCTGGGAAAGTTGATTTAGCTGTCTCGTAATGTAGTGTTATCATTTAATCAAGTTGATTTCTGTGCTGAATTGAACAGGAAGGTAAAGAGCAGGCCCGCTATTTTGATGCACATGTTCTTCAAGTTCAAAGGCGCAGGCATGACGTAAGGGGGTGCCGCTGCAGGTTTCTTGTTTGTTATGATCATGATCACTCTGAGGTAATTCTCCTTCTGTCTACACTGTGGAGTGTCCATGCATTTACTCTGGTTCCATTGTTACATCATGGTTAGATGTCAGAATTAATTCAAGCTTGGGTCCTGGAATTATTTATCGGGCTGTTTGCCAGATAATAAATTGGATTTTGGACTTCATCTTGGACTCCATGAAAGTTATTAGCCAACTACAACCGAAGTTCCAAATCAGACCTCCAGCCCTATAATTTATATGTAGTTGGCTGTGGTTTTGTTCTTCATAACATGCCTGGACATCAATAAATGAGTAGCTCGCCACGGCCTTTTCTCTGCCCATTAAAATCCATCCCACTTTCTGTAGGAAACCAAACTTACTTCAAAGTATCCATGTCATTTCATTTCCAATCAGCAATTTTTTTGGCGACCAACAAAAGAAATCTGGTTTCTATAAGATTGATTGGGAAAAAAACAGTCCCTCCATTTTTATATACAAGGCCACAAATTTAGATTACAGGTACCAATGTAAAATTTAATGTCTATTTTGCAAGTCGGTTTTTCTTTTCATTTACTAGGATCATTGGGGCATCTACAATGCAAGAGCGCTTAATCGGGTGCTTAGACAATAAAATAAATTAATTATGGAACTTGCGCGGGTGTAGGAGTTTGTTTCCCCAACGGAGGAGCGCCTACTCAAGCGCTAATCTAATTCTTTTTCGTGTGGGAAAAAATGGATAGCGCTTGTTAAAAAAGGTTCGTACGGGAGAAAAAAAGGGAAGCGCCCAATCGCTAGAAAGGCATCGACGCCAGCGAAAATCCTTCGATGGAACGGGATTTACCCATAACGGCCAGGACTTGAATCCTGGCTGGCCTAAGCGCCGGGGTTGTACATGCCCTTAATACGCTCTATGCATGCAAGGAAACTGAGTGGATGATGTAGCTGACTGTCATTATGACTGCATGCATGCAAGTATTAAATAGGTTGCTAGTACCAGAAAATATCATTAATTTTTCCTTGATTACTATTGGTGGCCTTGTATACTCTCTTCGTCTAGGTGCATAAGTCACCTTATGAAAACTAAATAATCTCAAAACACTTAGGCACGATACATTAACTCACCTCATTTCTTCTTTCTTGACATAAATAAATGAATCAACCAATAAAAGATGTGGGGTGTCTATGCTTTCGATGACCGGAGACTACCAAACAAGACATGTAGTGGTCAGTTCATTACATGCAATGCTATTAATTACCAAATAAATATTACGTTCTCTCGTTTTTCCCTCCGCCTTAGTAGCGGTGCACAACGTAAAATGACTTATGCACCTGGATGGAGAGAGTAGATGCAAAATGTATATTCCATAGTGGCCTTATATAAATAAATGAATGGAGTACTATATTTTTTGTGCTAGGCTACTTATCTTACTTCATCCGTCTAGGTGTATAAGTCACCTTACGAAAACCAAATAATCCCAAAATACTTGGACGCGGTACATTAACTTCCACCTCGTTTTTTATTTCTTGACATATCAACCAATAAGAGATGTGGGATGTGCATGCTTTCAATAACTTGAGACTATCAAACACGACATGCAATGGTTAGTTCATTGCATGCAATGCTATTAATTAGCAAATAAACATTAAGTTTTCTCATTTTCCCCTTCTCCTTGGTTGCGGTGCACAACCTAAAATGACTTATTCACTTGGACGGAGGGAGTACTATGTAGTCAAATAAAAAGGAGTAATGAGTTTAGTTTGTTTTATGATGTTTATACCAAATAATTTATTTTTGCATTTCTTTTCACGTGACAGGAGTTTGTTCCACTGAGCAATGTATGCCGTCGATCAGTGCACCAAAAAGCCCAAAAGCCGCACGAGATGATGGATGTCAACACTGACAAGGTGACCGGGGGCGGGGTTCCCATTCCATCAGATCAAGGAGGTCCGTCTGACAAGCCGGTTGCTCCCTTACTTGACTCGCCTACTAGCACTGGCAGCAATTCAGTGGCAGATGTTGAGGCGGGGGGTATGGAGGCTACCCCAAATGGTGATGGTGCAGATGAAGCACATGGCGACAAGATTGATGTGGGAGCGTAGCTCTTTCACTTCCTTGTGAACTTTAGTCAAAAAGATGTTCGCCTAAGACAATCGAGAAAGGATGTTTGGTTGCCCAGTAACTGTAATGTGCCCATGTTGACTGGATTGATTGTGTCGGATTGGGTATCTATATCTATATAGGTATGTCGTCAGAGAAGATATTGTTGTGCTTCAGTCCAATAAAAGTTTGGCAGTTGTGTCATTCCCTGTAAATAGAATTAGCAAGGGGTAATTTTATCCCGCGGAAGGCCCTCCAAATACAGGATCCGTCTATATATATCTTGGAAGAAGGGATCCATATATAGATCCCCCTTTGTCATCTTCCTCTACCTGTACATCTCACGCTCTCCATTCATCTCCTAAGGGCTGCACCAATTCCTTTCCTTGTTTTCCTTCTTTTTATCTGTTGTCATTCGATCGGTTTGCCACCGGCGGTTGACTCCTCGCATTTCAAAGCTGATGGTGAAGCTAGTATTGCCCTTGTAATTGGCACCATTGAGGAAGCAGTTTACATTGAGGATATCCTCCAAAACCTGAACTCTATGACATCGCAACATTGCTAGATGAGATGGGCGCTCCTTCATCATGATAATACTCCCTCCATTTACTTATACAAGGCCACTATGAAAAATACACTTTGCATCTATACAAGGCCACCAACACTAATCGAGACAAAAGTGAAAAAAAATCAGCTTTCAATCCCTTCGTTGCATGCATATGTTGTATTAATAATCCCACTAAACGAAAAGAAAAACGGGTTTACAAAGCAAGAAATTAAATTTTATCTTGGTATCTGTAATATGAGTTTGTGGCCTTGTATATATAAATGGAGGGAGTAGCAGCGTAGGAATGTAAGATCCCTTTTTATGAATCAGATTTGTCAGTGTTACAAACAAACACGATTTTGTTTTTGTATAAAGGACAAAAATGATAATTGTAGGCTCGAAAAACTTATTTAGTATAACCGAATTTTTTAGGGAGTATAACCGATTTTCAGTTGCTTTACCATGGCGATTTTCATCACCGTTCCCCACCTAATTTTACAAAAGAAGAGATATAGAGATCCAAACTACAATCGATATCATATGTGCAATTGAGTTTAGGATACCAGAACCAAGTTTTTGCTCGCATCTCGTGGGTTGCTCATGTGACTCACGGGGCTAACGCCGGCGCCGCCCCAACCAACTCCTCTTTTGCTCTCCTCTCGGTCGCCATGGCCGCCGACCTTCAGCCAGGCCACGGTGGCGACAAGGCACCTCCTCCTCTTCCCCCTGCTACCCGGGCGTTCCCCCTCTATCTCACGCAAAGACGAGGTACGGATCTCTCTCGCCCAGCCGTGGCCCTGCTTGGTAGCGGCACGACTCTCGGAGCGCATGGGTGTGAGGCAGGCTACTACCACCGTGTCATGTTGGCACACCTACTCGCGGATGGGCAGCGGTCGTGGAGGGTTTCCTGGCAGCCGCTCGAGGTTGGATCCGCCAGATCCAAGATCCAACAGGCTCCTAATCCGTCTGCTAGCTTCCTTGGGCATGGCCTTCCCATTGTTGCTGGACCTTGTGGCTACTTCTGGGCGCTCAGTACCCAGATCTAGGGTTCATTTCCATGCGGGTGCAATGTACAAGCTTTGGGGTGTAGTGGGTGGCGGAGTTGCGCCAGTGCGGCAGAGGGGTCGGACGGTTGCCTGCTTGCGGTCTGCTGCGAGGTGCGTGATGGGTGAAGGTGGATCCTGTTGGTTGCCGGAGTGGCGGCTTCAAACGATGGGAACACCGACACCATTTCGGCAGGTCTTGTGTTCCAATTTTTTTGTCACAAAGATGGCATCTTCTATTCCAATCTTTTAATGTACCTTTAGGTGTTTCGGTGGAAGTACTATAAAAAAATCAAACGCACCAAATCTTCTGGTTCTCCCTCTCGACGATTTATGTTACCTCCAAAACATTCCAAGTGATATTATGCAATACTCCTAACTCATCTACGACTCAACAAGATCAAAGGTTCTTAAGTGTGTGACCCAGCAGGTTTGGTAAAATATACACATGCCTTAACCGCCGAGGAGTTATCCGAGCTACGTGCAACAATCAATAAAGATGGCGTCGTCCTTGATAAACGATCCAAATCCACATAATTCAAACTAGTCAATGAGATTATGAAATTTCAGGTCCATCCCGAGGATACATCCAAAACGGCCTTAATCGGTACCCACCTTGACGCTTCGCTAGACGAAGCGTTGCGCGGTTTTCTTTGCGAAAATTGGGACATCCTGGCACCCTTCTACAATGCCAGGTATACCTAGAGAGCTCACAGAACACAACCTCAACATCATCGAGAGGTTTAAACCAGGAAAGCATGCACTACAAAGATTCTCCAAGCTGAAGAGACAAGCAATGAGGCAATAGTTGGCCAAATTGTTGGAAGCAGGATTCATCCGAGAAATCAAACACTCCCATCTGTTGGCGAACCTAGTCATGGTACCGAAGAAGGAGAAGTCTTGGTACCTCTACGTCGATTTCAAGGACGTCAACAAGGCATGCCCAAAGGACCCCTTTCTGTTACCACGAATTGATCAAATAGTCGACGCTACAGCCGGACATAAACTCTCACTATTAGAAAATAGCTTATAGGTAGATCCTTAGCAGTAGCGCTAGGTAAGAGCCCCATGCTACTATTAAGTAGTAGTAGTGCGAGCCGAACCTTGCTACGGGTACACACTAGTAGCAGTGCGGGTGCGCACACACACCACTGCTGCTAAGTGGGCC